AGTTTAAAGTTCACTTACAATGTTATGCAAAGCCTCTCTACTCCTTTGATGCTCTTTAACTTGTTTTGACATTCCACCCTGCATTAGCACAAAGTCTCTTAAAGAACTGGTGTACTCCAGCGGTCCAGAAGAGCTGAATAAATCTAGCATATCTGCTGCCCTTACTTTAACAATAAATGCAAGTACTCTACATGTGTGGCTGGGCTGTGCCTGTGTATTAGTGATTAAAATGGTTATATTTTAATGCTCAAGTGTCCTTGTAACACATTATCTGATTGTGACCCCTTTTATGACAGCCTCTTCCAGCATAGGTAGTTTTCCACCTTTTTAAAATTAAGGCATCCCTCAGAAAATTGCAGTTCTTCACTTTGTTGTTTTTTGGCTACGGAAAAATGTTAGAGTAAATCTTATCGCAAAGAACTTAGGAAGACCACAACAGGTTAGAGTATTTTCAGCACCATGGATTCCTATTTGAAATCTTTGGATTTATTTTGTGAATTGTATAAGTGTTTGCATACCTAAGAGTATTTATATTGCATAGCACCCCACAACACTCTTAAAAAGGATCTCATGGCAGTGCAGGGTGCCATGACACCCTAACTTAGAATCATTTACCTAGAGTTACATAAGTATACTTAGTTTTAAATGTTATCCATGATTTCTTAATTTCATCACTAATGTAAAAGGGATCGGGGTGAATACACATTCTTCTTTCCCTAACAGGATTGCATCTTACGTAAAACTTACACTAAAAGTTTACAATGTGTTACTCAGAGCTTTATCAACTTAATTGACTTTATATTTAAATATAACATTTACTTATGAAAGTTGGTTTGATCTAGCTTCCCCTGTACGTCCTTGGCTACTGTATCTGGCAACATGAGATTATATCTTAGTAGTTAGTATCCATATTTCAATTTATCTGTACAAAGAACAGAGAAAGAGGTACTTGCAATATGATAAACTGGATTTCCAACTTGCTTGCATTCAATTTCATTGCATATTTTTGATGAAAACTTAAGAAAATCCACGAGCAGATTTTTGTGTTTTGACTCTCTGAGGTCTTTGTCATGAAAATGTTACTCGTTTTAGGTTTTAACTAATAATGGCTGCTAGTAGATATGGAAAAAAACAAACAAACTGTGCTTTACCAGAAGAAGCAGCACATTAGGGTGATGTGGCTCTGCAGTGTCTGAATAGATCAGGCACTTCAGCGGGGCTTTTTGGCACTTTTATCTAATAGCTGATCCAATCACCTATTAGATAAAAGTGGCAAAGAGTCCTGCTACTGTGCCTGATTTATACAGCTGCTGTAGAGCTGGGTCAGACTCAGGTGCTGTCTCTTCTGGGCATGTGTTGGGCTTGGCGCAGCCGTATGCCAAATTTAAACTAAAGTGTGCTTTTTTTCTTTTTCACATCTGCAAGCATAAATAATGTGCTAATTTTGGTGCTTTCGTCATTAGACTGTACAGTAGAGATTTTAAAGGAAGTCTGTTGAGAATGAAATAGAAATTATATTAATGTGTGAATGGTCACAATGGCCACATCTATATGAATGTGTTTGAACTGAGTGACAAAGTTTTCCTGCCCCCATATTTTATAATCTAGAAAATTAATCACAGGGTTAAGGATCTTAATTCCTAAATTCTGTTCCCATCTCTGCTATTGATAAGAATATAATATTTTGTATTTCTGTAGCTCTTTCCAAGGATCATTTGATTATGCTCTTCACCTGTTTGATGAAGGTGTTAAGTATATCTACCAACATTTGCATATTTGGAAATAGAGTTTGAAGGACATTATTAGGGTCATACAGCAAGTCACCCTTAGATCCAGATTTTTGGACTCCCAAAACCAATGTCCAGTTCATTAGACTAAGAAGTAGGCTCCAGACAAGCAACATAATCTTTCTCAGTTTGAAATTCCAGGTTTTAAAATGGGAAGATTTGCACAGTTTTGTGCATTGGAGAAGATATTTTAAATCTTGTATAGTATATTTTCACCTATAGTAAATATTATTTACTCTGCATTAGATACAGGGAAAATGTGGCTCGGATGGGTTGATTGTGTGAGAAGCAAAAGCAGGCCTTGAATCTTTAAAGTTGTGCATTCAAAAACCTGCTTTTGAAAATTTGGTGTGGAGCCTTATGTCTTGTGGGTACAGTGGTCTAATGAATTATGCATGGCTATATTAGAGGTGTTGTGAAGCCTAAAGTTTATAACTACTACATGAAGTGTTAAACAATACTAACCCAAGTCAGTGGCACAGCTCCCTCTTCCAAAAAACTCCATAGTCATTGGGTTTTCACACAGTTGGAAACATGCTGTTTTAATGGTGGAATGTGACTTTCTTGAATAATATTTTATCCTTTTCTAATTTCCTCTATATTTTTTCCCATATCTTTATTCACTCTGCAAGCCCATCTATATCAGCATATAGTTAATCTTCCCTTTTTCTCCTCCTCTTTCTCTTGGCTTTCTGTCTTCTTCCTTCCCCATTCCTCCCCTCTCCCCCCATCACTCCCAAGAGTCCCTGCTTTAATATTTCCTACTCATTTCACAAATGGCAAGTGTTCTCCTTCAAGCCGTTAATTTAAACCTATGGGACATGTCCCCACGAGCAGGGGTGTGCAGTTGCCATGGAGTAAAAAGCAGCAGCACAAATTTGTGTAACGGCTTTTTGTCCCAGTGCACGCCCTGGCACATAGGGTTAACATGGGGAAAAATGCTCTGGGTGAGGTAGGGGGAGGCTGGGGTCAGCACCTGGACTGACCCCAGCCACCTTACCTGTGGTCCAGGGGGCCTCCCAGGGCTGCAGCACCAGCAATCTGGGTGTGCAAAGCCTGGCCAACAGCTGGAGCGTGGCTCTGGCTGGCCAGGTTCTGATTTTGGGTGGCACATGGCATGTGTACCACCCTGCTTTTTTATGTCTTTTTTTTTTATGCTGCAGTTAGCAGTGCAGTGCATGCCTGCATGTGTGGCATGTGTGGTTTGTGATGCCACAGACAGGTCTGCAGCACTGCAAACTGAATGTGTGCGCTCATCTAAATGCACCCATGAAGTCGTCTTGCACTGCTCTCCTCCAAGTAACTCCTCTGTACTTCCATGCATTGGAAGCATGGTAAAGTTTTTAACCTTCAGTGCCCTTTAGGGATAATATTTCCCAAATCAGATACCGACACACAATGCTGTATAATGTATAGGCTTATTGTGTCGTAGTGATACTTGCATTTGGTATTTGTTCTGAAGCAATCCTTATTCTTTAGAAAACTGTGTTGGTCTGCCAAGAACAGTCCTTTGTAATGTCCTTACCATTAGTGGGGTAAAATTAGTTTTCATACAACAGAATGAAAAGAGTTAAGCCATTGTTCCCTTTTTATATAACTCAGTATGAGTTTTTTTTCATGCTGTTAGAATACAATTTGTTACAAACGTTAGGGTCATTCACTGATGGATTCTTCCAGCCTGTTTCAGAAGTTTTCAATGAATTCCCCCCACTGCTGTACAAATTCATCTGGAATAGAAATGTTTTAAATGGAAGGGATGGAGCAGGGAGGGAAGGGATGTTGATTATAAGGTTATTTTTCCTGAAATGAAAAACCGCATTCTTGGGTTAGTTGAAAAGGCAAATCAAAGAATACTATGAAGTAGAATCCAAAGGTTTTTTCTTCCCTTCATTTAAATAGCCATTCAGCCTATTATTTTTACTAATTACAGAGCCTCCTTGGTATTAATCCAGTCTCCATGGAAGGTCAGGTACAAAACATAAGCTGCATTAAATCAGCATGAATTGTCTTTGGTTATTTATTGGTAAATGAAAATGGGCAGACTTTGGTTTAAACTGTTCAGCTTGAATAGTTAGCTAAGAACTCACCATTCTGTCTGGTAGAAAGCAGATGTAGTCCATGATGCTCTTAAATACTCTCTCCATGTGACAAGTATGGCTACTATAAAATACACTCTACTTGCAAATGTACATGCATATCAATGTGTGCATTCTGAAACAGCCACTTTGCTCCCTTAAATAGTAGATTTTCTAAGTCATAGCATTCGAATATTAGATAACAAAATCATAAGGCTTAGTTCATGCACAGAACCTGTAGCCTGGTAAAATAGTGTAACAGCTCTAGCATAAATCTGCTGAAATGGGGAGACGGCACAGAAATGAGGATAAATCACCTCAGTTCTATTGTAGACAGTTTTACTGTTTGTTGTTTTGTACGTGCCCCCCACCTGACTAAATGGATGTTTTAGTGCTTGTGATTAGTGCTGTGTTGGTAGCCCAAGGACTGAACCCTTCAGTTGATACTCAAAGCAAGGGCAGTGACATACATGCTTTTCCACAACACCACGGCTATATCTCTCCATAACACTGACCCCTGATGCAGTGATGAGGCAGGCCGTTAACCCATGGAGGCAGGCCGAGAGGGTGTTTTGTCTTGTGTGCTTTTCCAGTTTCTTAGCTTTGTTAGACCTGCCAAGCATGGTTCTAATTAGTGGCATTTGTGATTTGTTATTTTTTATACTGTTGCTGTATCTAATGGTAGGTCTCGACTGAGATCACAAACATGAAATTTCTGAGAAATCACTAGGACTGTATGCCTTCAAAAAGAAGGCACATTTTTACAATTAAATATTTCATCTACAAATGGACTGGGTCTGTACGTGCAAGGAAGGAAGGAAAGGTGGGCAGGCTTATATATACAATGCAGATGCTATATCCTTGTAAATATGACTTTGATTTTTTTTTCTTATATTGGAAGTCAGAAAAATACTGACCTGCCTTAAACTCAGGAGTAGTCTGTATTAAAAGGAAAATGATAATATTTACAATTCTGGGGAACAAGAAAGAAGCCATTAGGAGAATATTATGAATGAATGTTCTTCTATATTAGTAGTTAATTCACCAGACGTGTGTTATATAAGACTGTACTGTGGGTTGGATGTCTCTGTGTTTTGTGGATTTTACTTATCTGTGTCCATAACTGTTTGTGTTTCAGGCAGCAGAGTGGCAATGTGATGAAGCTACTAAAAGAGCCTGTTACAGTAAGGGCAAATCAAAGGTAAGAAGGTGACAGCTGTACAGCTTAATCAGAACTTATATTTGAGTGACTAGTACAATTCAGTGTACAAACCTCTTCTCTATAAATTCTTGTTATCTCCCATTCCTTTTTGAAGTGAGTCTTTAGGGAGGCAATATTACATTTATTGCAGTGGAGGCAAAAGAATATGAACAATAACAGAAGACAAGGATAGCTCCTTCTTTCTTGGAAATATCAAGGGCACTAGAGTAACAATACCCACCTTATTCAGCCTCTGTCACTTTACTGTCTTACTCCTGCAGTCTGTGAAACACACAGTACTAGATTTTGATCTGATTTTTCAGCACACTGGTGTAAATCCACTCATCTCTCAGGAGGCAGGGTACATTTTTTAACACCATTTTAGACTTCTGTGCTGTTCTGTTGCCTCATGACCCCAAATCAATTGAAAATGAAGATGGCAATCTGAAATTTACTATTGATGTCAAAATAGGATTTGGTCTCCAGAGTCAGATTCCAGTTTTGACTAATTACAATATATTTTTTCAGTGCACACAAAGTAGTTAAATGCAAAGCTGAGGCAAAACAGACCTCCTCTGTGAGAACATTATTTTTTGTGAGCTGAACTGACCAAATTAATTTGGGCATAACCCACCTTGGTAAGTAGTGCTTTTTTGTCCCTTTTACCTCCCCCAAGGTGGTTAGCATCCACCAGCTGGGAAGGTGCTTGTACAGCAATCTTCTGTGTTCACTGTAAATGCATTGCATTTTAGAAATGCTGTCTCATAGGAGAAGCAAATGCTAAAAAAAATAAATTGATTAAGCTAGGAGGCTGACCAAATGCACTCCACTCAGGTCATCATATGATCTGGATCCATGCTGCTAACTGAAAGAAATATCATGCAGTATTAGATTTGAGAACTTTATTAAAATGGCTAAACAAGCAAAACTAAACTCAAGAATACCTATCACCAGTGCTAAGCTAGTGTTAGAATCGGTAAAGTATAAATTGAGAACAGAATTGTACAACTATCAAATTAAGGTCAACTCAAGAATTCTGTATATTAGTCTCAGTGTTGGACTGGACTCATTTTATCTAGCTGAATTACCAGATTAATACATAAAATATACAGTGGTTTTAAAACCTAAGAAGATGTTTGGGAACATGGATGCCTTTGGGCATAAAGATCCCTAGAGTTTCATACAAATCAGTTAAGTCTATGGTTTGGAGCATCTTAGACATTTTCAACTTGGAAAACAGCACACGCATCCATGGAGATCTTTTTGAGACACTGTGGGTGCATTTACATGTGTCATTAAGGTTACATAATAAACTCCAGCACAGTTTGCACTGGAGTCAGCTGCTCCTGGGCATAGCATCTGCATGTGCTCCCAGGACTGCAACAGTTTGAGCCAGGGTGGAGGAGACCTGGACTGGCAGCAGGTTTGGGGTTCCAGGCACAGGCTCCAGGTGGCATTGGAGGGGCTGTCTGGGGCACAAGAGCACTGAAACTGTGGAGCTGTGTGGCTGGTCCCCCAAGCCTGCTGCCAGCCTGCAGTTGCTCCACCCTGGCTCAAATTGCTGTGGTCCCAGTCACTGTTCACACGTGCATTTCAACTCAGTAAATGACTCTGGTATAAGATAGTACTGTTTCTGGCAGCAGGCGGTGGCGGCACTGGGAGGGGTGGCTACGGGGAGCTAAGGTGAATTTTGGGGTAGCTATAGCCCCCTCCAAGCCCTCCCTAGTGGCATTCCTGCTCAGGGCCCTCCACTCTTCTGCCTTTCCCTCGGTAGCTCCATGCTGGTTGCATGTCCCCTGCCTGCCCCGCAGTGGGGGGCTCCCAAGGGAAAGGCAGCAGAGCAGAGTGCTCAGAGCAGGGGTGGCACTAGGAGGGGGTTTGGGGAGCTATAGCCACCCCAAAATTTACCTTATTCCCCCCCTGTAGCCACCCCTCCCAGAGCCGCCGCTGCTGCTGTCTGCCCACCCCACTCCTACCTGCTCTGAGCCCAGCCCTGGCCCAGCACCCAGCCCCCCTGCCAGGAAGAGGTTGGTGCTGTCCCTGACCCTAAACCCACAGTGGGCAGTCTGCAGCTCCATACACAAATCTGGGGGGGAGGGGCAGGCACCCCCCAGGCCACTCCTGGGGTGCATGCAGTGGTGGAGAGCTGCTTCCCATCCTCACTCTCCCATGTCCCCTGGACAAGCCTTGCCTC